TTGCTATTGCTATTGCTATTGCCAAGGTTGGACACCTTTGCAAAACAAAACAAAAAGTCTTTTCTTTCCCATCTTCCTGTTCTTCTTCTAACCCTTCACAAGACCTTTCGTTTTTCGTTGCTTCCCGCACCCTGCTGTTGGCCAAAAATGGTCCCATTTCAAAGCTCACACTAAGGAGTTTCTAACTGGTCCATTCAGAATCGGAATCAGAGCAGGAAGGGACCTTTCCGGCTACCCACCTGGATACGGAGTCTGCCCGTAGGTAATGATCTCCATCAGCAAGATCCCGAAGGACCACACGTCGGACTTTATGGTGAAGGACCCATAATTGATCGCTTCGGGGGCGGTCCACTTGATGGGGAACTTCGCGCCTGCCAAAAAAATCCAAACCAACATAAGTTAAGATTTAGCCTGAAAGGCGACATATAATGTTATTAGTTTGGTTTAATGGTGAAGGTACCAGGGAGAAAGAGGGGGACGGTGAGTTCTAGTCCCACCTTAGGCATGAAAGCCACCTGAGTGATTGTGAGCCTCTCTTTTGGGGCACCAGGTTAGAAAGTAGGAGACGGTGAGTTCTCGTCCCGCCTTAGGCATGAAAGCCATCTGAGTGAATTTAGGCCAATCACCAGGAGAGAGAGAGTTCTAGTCCCACCTGAGCACAAAAACAGGTGGGTGACTTTGGGCCAATCACCAGGAGATGGTGCGTTCTCGTCCCGCCCTAGGCATGAAAGCCAGTTGGGTGACTCTGGGCCAATCACCAGGAGACGGTGAATTCTAGTCCCACCTTAGACATGAAAGCCATCTGGGTGACTTTGTCCCAATCACTAGGAGATGGTGAATTCTAGTCCTGCCTTAGGCACAAAAGCAATCTGGGTGATTTTGGCCCAATCTCCAGGAGACGGTGAGTTCTAGTTCTGCCTTAGGCATGAAAGCCAACTGGGTGATTTTGGCCCAATCACCAGGAATCTGTGAGTTCTCGTCCCGCCTTAGGCATGAAAGCCAGCTGAGTGAATTTAGGCCAATCACCAGGAGAGAGAGAGTTCTAGTCCCGCCTGAGCACAAAACAGGTGGGTGACTTTGGGCCAATCACCAGGAGATGGTGCGTTCTAGTCCCGCCTTAGGCATGAAAGCAGGCTTGGTGCTATTGGAAGAAATATCCATCCGGTTCAGTTCCAAGCAGTGAGAAAGACACTGGAAACAAGGAGGCTGATTGGAAAGTGGGTTTGATGGTGAACAGGACCACCAACCCCATGGTGCTGGTGCAGCTGGTCACATGGAGTTGAGAATGAGGGTATTTATACCGTCTCTTGGGCTTTGAACTTGAGCTTCCTATTCCTGTGCAAGAATATGTATTCTATTGGCTGTCGTCACACTCCCATGGGGCAGTCATGTGAGGTCAAGTTTGTCTGAGATAGGTTTGGTTGAAGTTTGCCAATGCAATATCCTTAGGAGATTTTGCAATGCAATGAGCTCGGCTGCTAGATAATCCTATCTGGAGGGTCATGTCTTAATCCCATCACCCTGGAGCTGGAGGTCTTTTGTCTTGCAGATAGGATGGCCCAGTCTTTCTCAATGGGCACCAAATATCTGCTGGGGAAGGGAGCTGGTGCTCTGAGTTAGCAATAGCAATAGCAGTTAGACCTATATACCGCTTCATAGGGCTTTCAGCCCTCTCTAAGTGGTTTACAGAGTCAGCATATTGGCCCCAACAACAATCCGGGTCCTCATTTCACCCACCTCGAAAGGATGGAAGGCTGAGTCAACCTTGAGCTGGTGAGATTTGAACAGCCGAACTGCAGAACTGCAGTCAGCTGACGTGGCCTGCAGTGCTGCACTCTAACCACTGCGCCACCTCGGCTTATCTGTCTGAGTTTTTGTCCACCTTAAGATTTCTATTTCTCTTTTAGGGGAAATATAATATTTCGCCTTTTTAAATATTTCTCAAAATATTTCATTCTTCTAGGATTTACAGAGTCAGCATATTGCCCCCACAGTCTGGGTCCTCATTTCACCCACCTCGCAAGGATGGAAGGCTGAGTCAACCTTGAGCTGGTGAGATTTGAACAGCCGAACTGCAGAACTGCAGTCAGCTGACGTGGCCTGCAGTGCTGCACTCTAACCACTGCGCCACCTCGGCTTATCTGTCTGAGTTTTTGTCCACCTTAAGATTTCTATTTCTCTTTTAGGGGAAATATAATATTTCGCCTTTTTAAATATTTCTCAAAATATTTCATTCTTCTAGGATTTACAGAGTCAGCATATTGCCCCCACAGTCTGGGTCCTCATTTCACCCACCTCGCAAGGATGGAAGGCTGAGTCAACCTTGAGCTGGTGAGATTTGAACAGCCGAACTGCAGAACTGCAGTCAGCTGACGTGGCCTGCAGTGCTGCACTCTAACCACTGCGCCACCTCGGCTTATCTGTCTGAGTTTTTGTCCACCTTAAGATTTCTATTTCTCTTTTAGGGGAAATATAATATTTCGCCTTTTTAAATATTTCTCAAAATATTTCATTCTTCTAGGAGTGGTGGCATGCCAGGGGCGGTGGTGGTGGTGGCGGGGGGGGG